CCCCCTCTCCCCCCTCCCCCTCTGTAAACCTGACAACGATTAATCGTCTCATCCATTAAAGTTCATTCACATTTCTAGCGGGCGGTCTCGTGGAAGAAGAAACAAAAGAAAGGAAAAAAGAGAAAAAAGGAAAGAAAAGAGGCAACAACATTATCCTACTTGGTCCTCTAATGGCAGATAGAAAGGCATGTTACGCTGTTATTTAAAGGTCCAACCTTCTCCTTATGTCCCCGATCCTCTTACTTCTAGTTTCTCTCTGATTATTGGTAGCTCTCGGATTTCTGGAATGCTATTCTGCTTTCGAGAGCCCCGAGGAGCAATCGCCTTTCCGGGATGAGCTCACTTACAAGTGTAATGCCTGGATAAACTGTGATTAGCAGAATAAATGGTGTTCATGCCGAACTGGTTCTGTCACCATTGGGACCCGACACCTGTTCACTTGCAAATTCCACATAAATCTTACCCAATTCTTTTTTCTGAAAAGTCAGACAAAAATAAAGGCAAGTTCAAGCAAGCTTTGCACGTGGGTCTGCTAAAGTTTGGCGATACCGGAATCGGTCCTGGCAGCGAAAAAGAAGTTGTGAAAAGCTAGAATAAAAAAACCCAAAAGGGTTCAATAAACACAGCTAATTTTGTTGGATGCATGTGGTAGGGTCTCCTATACGATCGAGATTTTTCATCGATTAATTGGGTATTGATTACAGATCTCTAGCCATTGCGCCCACCCTGTTGTTAACGATATTCAGTGGAGGTATAATGCATATGACAGGCTTAAATGATTTTCTGAACAGTGTACAGGTGGGTGAAGCCTAGCAATTCCATAGCAATCGATTACTTTTCAATTCCAGTGAATTCTAATTACTGGCTTACAGATGATTCAATTACCATTCGCTCTGATACCTGTATTGACATTTGTTTCCGACAAACGAGTGATGTTCAATTTCAAAACTTCAAGGTATTCAATTTGTTAAATTCCTTCCATCTGTAAAACACTCGCAATTTCCCTAACCCTAAACCCAAAAATTATACCTTAGAGGGATATACATATGTAGATGGAGGGGGAACACGAAAGTGAAAAATGAATCAATAGCGACAAAGTTGGTGAAATTAGCAAAATAACAATACAAGCTTCAAAAACATAATAATAATATTAATATAATATGAAATACCTCGATAGTATGATAATAATATAATATGAAATAAGATGGTAATATAAAAGTACTCTCGAATATTTTAATAAGCAATTCCAGGAAGTCAAGACTTATTACTGCCGATTTTTAACTTTGAAAAAATCATAATTTTCCTAGCAGTGTCTATGAACTCCCACCAATTACTTTAAAACATGAAACTGAGTAAATGGTCGAAGGGCAAACGGTATAATGAGACAAATAGAAATAAAATGATGAGGAAAGACAACAAGGAAGAAGTTGGTGACCTCTACCATAGGGCAATCACAATAGTTTCCTTCGGAAGCAGCCAAGAACCTTATTGTGGAGCATGTTTGCCGATAATCTAGGCGTAATTTTGTTAATCTACCCACTTTTCAGATTCCAAAAAGGATTTGCAGTGACGACTTCGTTGATCATTTTGGGGATAAACTTCTTCTTTTTATACGAATGGGTAGGCGCTACCTTCGGCCTGACCCCTGCGTCGATCTCGATAACCGCTTTCTTATCACTCATTTATGCGCTGACGATAATTTATTTGGTGAGTGTTCGATATGCTTGCAGTTTTAGACTGTTTACATTCAAAATTCGGAATCGCTTCGGAGTTACCTGACAAACCATTAAAAAGGGGTTAAGTTTTCATCGGCGGTAGCGCGGGTAACCAATGTTTTCAACCCACATTCCGTTCGCAGTCCATAACCGGACGGCTTCGTTCTCAAGTAGTAAAATACTAGGTCAAAGAAGGCGGTATAACTGAAATTTCACTTCTCTACGTTGTTACGGTAAATCTTGAACTTTCAATATTCTTTATTATTACTATATCAATATTTAATTACAATTCGTTTGGCTAATATGGTCAGTTTACAACACGTTCATTTAGTCCTACTACTGCTTGGTTGCAATGGGGATCATCCGGCGACTCCAATGGGTACGTTCTTTATAGACCTATGTATTGAGACTTTTTATTTGCATGCCAAATAGTAGCCATGTATCTTTCATCCTCTTCTTTAATGTAATAGTTTTTGTTTTCTCTCCTTTTTCTGCCGTAGTTGCGCCGATCTTAACAAGGACGAACGGTACTCCACCGGTACTTGCGCTCGAAACCAGAGTTCGAATCTCGTTCGAAACTGGGCGTTTTGCCCATAATCGCCATCCCTGTGGGACATCCACTCATCAAATTTATGGGATACAAGTGAATGTAGAACCGAAAATTACAGATTTGTAAGACAGGACTGACCAGAGTTAGTGAACATGATGACATTGTAGAGGAAAAGAGGGGTGCAAAACATGGTTCTATTCTACTGCCAATTATACAACCGAGATGACAGAAAATGGGAACTTCTGGTCAATTTCTTACGAGATGAGGTGACCGCGAAACATTTGAATGGCCTCAGAAAGAAGCTAGTTTTAAACCCTAAAAGTCGCTGATAGATATAACCTGCAACCTGAACAACTTTCTAGGATCGAGGAGTCCTGTGCCATCAATCCATCAAAGGATCATACCATCTCTGTTCTTTGACAAATTAGAATTACCTTGCGGATAACTCTTAGCCTAATATAGGGTATGACAACAATACTGACCAGTGACCAGCTCGGCGATATTCTGTAAGCCATCCGGTAATAAGCCTAACTGTATTCCTTGGGGGGCTGAAAATGAAGTTGCACTTCAACCTAATCAGTAAGAGTTCCTGATGGTTTTGCCGAGCGCGTAATCCAGTTGAGAATTATATAGCATAGTCCTACGATGAAATCAAAGCGTACAATCGGCGCTTATAAGATAAACTCAATGAAAACTTTCAGGCATGGCTACCAGAGCCTCGGTATCAAGACTTCGATGCACCCTGGTTGGAGTTGAAGAACAAACGGTGTCAAGCTGAATCTTACGTGAATTCCACCTGTATGTAGTGATGACAAAGAAGTCTTTCAAGAACTAAAACTATAATCACGTACAAGGTCATTCTGATTTTTCATAGATAGGTAGTGCTGCTGCTGAAAGCAGGATTTGTGGAAAGTAGAAGGCAGAAACAGGATGTGGTAGTCTACGTGTATAACATCGGATTACAATTAGAATATCTTTTCGCGAGAGTAGCAATGGTTTACCCTAAGGACAGAAACTGTCTCCGCCTGATCCCTTCTGAGCAAAAAGTATTCCCGCATGTTCTCCTATGGTGTGGTCCCTACTCCATGACTATCAACCGTTTTGTAGGGGATCTACCACTACGGTCGAGACCACTCTCCACTATCATACAGTTACCCTGCGAATTATAGTCAGTGAATACTACTTGGGATACTAACCGCGGTCTTGGCAACAGTATAGTGATATCTTTGAGTAAGCGGGTACTTCTTGCTTTTACCATTTCTTAACTCTTCCGATTTATACTGCTACCATGTCACAAAGTCATAGCCACTGTCTAATTTTGAAGCACCAACGCGCGCGATCGCGGTGCGTGAAAATGGCATCACAATGGCAATTCAACAACCAATGACGACGAACTATGGAACTTTCTGGCAAGTAGCCAGTACTTCCTCTGATTCATCTAAGTGGGAGCGGTGAAGAATCAGAGTGCTTTCAGTGAATTCACCTATTTCATTGATTAATTGAGCTACATTATTGATTAGTGGAGTCAGGGGAAGGGGGAGGGGCGTCCTTGAAACATCAATTTGCCTGCATCCTGGTTAAATTTCCCCTGCCATTATTTCAAGAAGAAATCCAGGACTCGTCTTCCAACCCATTAGCTTTTCTACGTTTCTTGGAAGAAGCTCTCTTTTTGTATAGAGCCGATGAATGCGTGTCAATATAAAGCATATTATTTTTGATATATCACGTTCTATTAACCTGTTCAATAGAATAACACATGTGATATTTTCATTGTGTTTTCCTTTTCCAATGGGATATAGGTTCTTGAAGCTCATTTCATTATTTATTGTCCACGTAATGGTCAGTATATTCGTTGACCTCAGCACGTTCTATTTGTCATCTGATTTGTTTTTATGCTCCTTGAGTTTTTGACTGTGATTCTCACTCATAATTTATGTTGTATGTTAATTTCAATAGATTTTTTTGATGGTCATAAAATGTTCAATGCTCGTTTTACCCATTCGAGATTTCAAACACGTAACAGTTCAGAGGCACAGTTCACGATAATTTCGAGGAACCCCTTTCAAGTCGAAAAGCCGGAAAATAGATCGGGAATAGTTCAACGCTAGCGAAGAAAGCGAGAGAATTCGCTGACTTCGAGAAAAATATGGCTCTTTGAAAGTAGGGAAAATAGAGGTTGGACGAGATTGCCATGACGGAAATAACATGGAAGAGGTATTCGGACGAAATTTCGTTATTACAATTGCACAACGAGCTGACTACATCAAGCCAGAACTGTACAGGACTGTCTTTCACTGTCGCTATTGACCATGACAGTTGTTTGGACTTCCTATATTGGTTCCCTTGTAACTCGTCCGAGGATACACACGGGATCCTTGGGCGCGGGGGGGCACGAATTCATCCCGATATCTCATGAGCTATTTTTATCCTGAACTGTACCTCAAAAGCGGAGATGGTGCAGTGGCAAGTGGCGCACTATGAAACACGCTCGGTTCAGGAATCCCGCATAGACGGACGCCTAGACAGGTTAAGGCGTCCCATCCCTCCAGGGTGGATTGATCCGTATGAGACACGCATGGGAGGGTAGATGCATTGGTTTGTACATCGACTGAATATCGCATTTCGACGGATTGGCCACATACACAGTCAAAATGCTCCAGTGATCCGGAATGGAAGTCGAATGCTGACGCGCATCGCAAAAACGGGATTGGTTAATGTCATAGATTTCATCTTTCAGCTTCACTGGGTGGCCAGCTTCATCTAGATCACTGAGGAAAGACGTCTGTGGCTCATCCTGCCAACAATAGATCGCATTTCATAAAATGAAGAAGTGACACGCCGTCGGTAACGTCCCGCCGAGGCCGAACCGCATCGGTGGTTGCTCAAGAGGGCGTCCCCGGTGGCGTGAGCTAGGTGACGTATTCAACTGCCACACGGACTTGCAGGCTTGAGGCTGCCCCAGTCTCCCTTGCGAGCTCCTACGGGCTGGTACTACCTCCGCAGTACGCTACGGGGGTTGCTAGCCCAGCGCCGAGCTCCCTCGGGCGCTGGGCGCAAGGTTCCTCCGTGGCCTACGCACCATTCCCTGTGCACTAGGATAGTTGCGGTATAAATGGTGTAATCAACACTACGCATTACCAGCACACATTGTAAAAATACACATTTTATGATAAACTTTGTATGACATGAAATGGGTGATTAAATTCGATTAAATAGAGAAAATACTATGAGAAAAAATACTTTGAGAAAAAGGCAAGAGAATTCATACACAAGTATAACCACACTCAACTTACGGTCTGGGTACGATCCAAGCTCTTCCTCATCCGGGTCCCATCCAAGCCATCCCACCTCCTGCTTCCAGGTCCTCGATTGCTGCGGAAAATCTTTCTTTGTTTCCATCCAGCTTCATACTACGCAGCTTGGCACCACTTGAAGATAGCAAAGATGTGGTGATATGAGCTCATCGGGGGCTACGTCGTTGTGTTGACGTCGAATGGCACAGGAGCTGTTGAAAGCAGGTGGCTCTGCAGCGTACGATGCCTTCCCGGCGGAACTACGGGCGCGCCACGGCCAGGCCGCCCTTTAAGTCGTCCGAACGGCATGACAAGAAGGAAAAAGTACCTAAAATATTAGGATCTAGGAGAACTACTTGGGGAAAGTATCAGCTCAGTGGTTGATTAGTTAAATAATATATCCTAAAAAAAATCATATGTTAGCTGATAGGAGCCCCACCGTTACCGGCTTATGACGTACCGGCTTATGACGTCATCGCCTTCTTGAAAAGGGAAGTTTGAGTGAAGTCTTAGTTCTCTTCCAAAAGGGGGGGGGGGGTCAAGAAGAAGTCATTACTATCAAACCATC